GTGTGTGTGTGTGTGTGTGCGCACTTGTGCATATCTACCGATCCCACTTGCTGTGCTCAGACAGCAGCTCATATTCCCCTGACTCATGGGTGCCACAGGTGGCGCTGGGCTCCTGCGAACATAATCAGAGTAAGACAGTAATAATTTACAACCCATTCACAGGCGACTGTGTTCACTTGCTTTTTGTATTGCATTTATATTCAGGTTTATCTCTGGGCCGACTAAAAGTCCATTTGGGCTCTCTGCTTGTTTTTTCCTCTTTTCTCCGCGTGCAGTGCTCATTTTTGATCAGACTATAAATCACATCCCTGTTGCTCGCCGACCCCGCAGCGCTGAGTGACGGATGTAACTATTGAGTTGGTTCTCTGTCTGTCCCAAAACGCCTCAATAGCTCTGACCTTGGATAAGGCCTCCTCTCTCGATGATTAATAATTCAATAGTACAGAGTGACTTTTTTTGCATTACAAAAACATCACCAAACTCTCTCCATGTGACCCACCTTTCTGGGAAGATCTGCAGTGTGTCAGGCTGATCAATTTTGCATGGTTGCTTTAGGAGTGGGCGGGGCACTCTTAGCCATTTAATCTGCAGCAGCGCAAGCAGTAAGGGGCAGCGGGTGCAGAGCAGCTTATGGAGGCAGGCGTGGCAAAATGAGGACAGAAGAACAGACCACAAGGACAAAGTATGAGTTACAAGGAAGAATAAGGCTTAGTCATCGTATTGTGACTTGTACAATGTAGAAACTGCAAATATAGATTAACTCTAAATTGTCATAGTCACAAGGTTGTGACTTGAAGTACAGCATGTGTAGTTTCTGAACATCTGCTTTTTTATTTTAAACTGTGTCTCCTCTTCTTTTGCAGGCTACGCCTTCCTGCTGTTCCAGGAAGAGACCTCGGTTCAGGCCTTAATTGACGCCTGCATCGAGGAGGATGGCAAACTGTACCTGTGTGTGTCCAGTCCCACCATCAAAGACAAACCGGTGAGTGGCAGAACATGAAATGAAAGTCGGTGTATATTTGGACATCTGTCCTAAAATGCATTTCTTTTTAGGAGCATCATTTTTTTTGCTAAAATCTAATCGTGAAGAAATATTTGGAGATAAAAGTACGAGACAAGTTATGGATTTCTTTCTGTTTGATTTTTTTAGGATGACTTTATATATCACACCTTTTTAGTCATAGCTGTCAGGGGCAATTTGGGGTCCAGCACCAAGGCCACACATTCTTCTAAATTACTGCATTAAATTCCTGGAGCGTGTCAAGGGACTTTCGGGGCCCCGGGCAAAAGGGACCTGGGGGGCCCAACATCGAACCCATGATACCACACCTCATCATTCCTATCTCAGTGTAAATTCCCACCACCATCAGGCACATCACATACCCCTTATTTTCCTCCCATTTCTTTTATATGCAGGTCCAGATCCGTCCCTGGAACCTGAGCGACAGTGACTTTGTCATGGATGGCTCTCAGCCTCTGGACCCCCGCAAGACCATCTTTGTGGGAGGAGTGCCTCGGCCCCTGCGTGCAGGTAACTGACTAATATGAATGGAATATCTTCCTTTTCTTATACCCCAAAAGCCTCTAAATTGTATTCATAACATTGACTGGCATTGAGCACAGAGGCTGGAGGCTGTAATGAAAAGTTCTCCCTGAGAGAAAGCAATCCTCTACTTGGGTTTCCAGGACGTGAGCCAAATGGTCGTCATGTTAAGAATTCATGGTGTAATGGAAGGCTCTGTCTTTCTGTTCGAGAGACAAACATCGCTGGCTTGTGTGCAATGTGACCCCCAACTAATTATACCAGCAGACTGAGACTGCTGCTCGTATGAATAGTGCAATAGGGTAGATTTTGACATTAGTTAATAACCGTGTCGATCACTAAAGTAAAACCTTTTCTGTGTTTTTTTGAAAGACACTGAAGAGAACAAAAGCAAGAGCAAAACACTCTTTAACTCACAAAACTCCTGAGAGGAGTGAGGACTGGCTGCAGCACTAATCATCTCTCCCCCTCTCGTCTTCTCTTCCCTCGCTCTCCTCAGTGGAGCTGGCTATGATCATGGACCGGCTGTATGGCGGCGTCTGCTACGCCGGCATCGACACCGACCCGGAGCTGAAATACCCGAAGGGAGCCGGCCGCGTCGCCTTCTCCAATCAGCAGAGCTACATCGCTGCCATCAGCGCTCGCTTCGTTCAGCTGCAGCACAATGACATCGACAAAAGGGTGAGCGGGTTCACCTCATTCACAACATCCTCCCTCTGACAGAAAGCAGGGTCCCCACCACAGCTGAGGTTTCCACAGTCATTCCTATGGCATGCATCAGAGCTGAACTCTGCCCGAGCCCTCTCCCATGTATCACAGCTTTCATTATAGCAGTGTTTTCAGCCAACTGCTCGGCGCAGCCTGCAATAACGGAAGGCTGGGCCTGGCTGTGTAATCACCACGGCTTTTGGCTGCGGGACTCCCGACAGATGTTTCAAGTTGCAGACACATAGGGTCGGTTTAATTATAGTAGTTCCCTATGCATGTATAGCCACTCAGGGCTGTGCTGCAGCCTGGTTATTTTAGGCTCGCCAGCCAATTGCAGTGGGACAGATCGTGACCGAGAGAGACTGGTAGTCGGCCAAGAAGTCGAGCCTCTGAAGGGCGGGGCCGTCCACCACACCCGGGCTATCACGAGCTATCTTCAGCGGGGGTTCTTTGTGGGAGTGTCTTTATTATGACTGGAGCTGTGCGGAATACAAATAACACTTGAAGGGTGTGAACAAAGACGTTCCTTCAAAAATGCGTCACAACAAAAACACCGAAACAGCCTGGAGAAGCAGGTAACAGGCAAACAGCAATCCAGTCAGCCACAAACAATATTGTCAAACTGCCTCTTTCCTGCTTTTCCCCTTTACATACTAATCCACATGCACACACACACATTCACACCTACACAACAATCAAATAATCACACCATGACCCCCCCTCCCCCTTCCGTTGGTCACATTACTGACTTGCACTATAAATAATTCATTAAAAAACTCTTTTTATGATGACAGAATTATCACTTTGAAAGAAACTGAGGAGTCAAACTGAGGAGTCAAACTGAGGAGTCAGACTGGGGCACAGGGGGACGACGTCCTTGAGAATCACTGTGGTTTGACTTCAGAGTTCTGCTGTGGAACAAAGACGCCTCTTGCTGCCACTTTTCCTTCTCATTCTCTCTTTCTGTCATTAATAAGTTCATTAACTGCTAATGGCTCTTGATGATGGCACATAGAAGCTCATCACCCCTGCGTCCTGTCCACTGAGTTGATGTTGGTGTTTAATAGCTTCAGCTCCTGCGTGTCCTCTTCCTCCTCCTCCTCTGCATTTTGCACTGTAGCTGCCTCACACTGTCGGAGGATTCGATAACCTTTCATTTTGTGGCCGCACTATAACAAGGTTAGCGTCCAGCCCTGCCCACTCGTGCACCGAGACGTCTCCATGGAGACGGAGCTCTCATTTCTTGTCTCCTGGCTCAGCGGTCAAACTCATTTCACCGGACGACGGGAGGATACCTGAGGTTTTATTTTAGAAAACTGTCACTACAGAGGAGGATTTAGCTTGGAGAAACGTTCGGGACTAACTGTGAGACCATTGGGTGGAATATCAGTGTTTTTTCAGTCTGCAGCGTCTTGACACGCACATCTGTGGTAACACCGGTTATTTAAGTTGTTGAACTGAGGGCATTATAAGAACTCTGGGTTTTGGGAATAATTTAGTTTGTGTTTGTGTTGTTTGGAGTTTGTGTGTGTTGGTTTTCTCCCAGCTTTTGTTTGCATCATGCTGTCCAGATGGGATGAGTTATTATTTAATTTTCTTCAGTACCAACTGATATTTGCTGTATAGCGTTGTCTATTTCGTTAATATATATTTTTGTACATATTGTTGTGGGACAAAGAGCAAAGAACAGCTCCTTCACTTAACTAGTGTCATATGTTTTTTAGTGGGCTGAGGTGAGTTGCTAAACACAATTTCCAGAATTTTGCTGTTGAGGCTTTCAGGGGGTCTCAAGTGTCAGGAATATTATTGTATTTTGTTCAAGAAGAAGATTGATTTGGAAGGATGATTGTTTTAAGTGAGAATATGAGATTAAAATACTGTTTGTCTTGGTCTGTGTTTGTGGAAGATGAGAAACTAAACTCGTCTGCTTCTCCTCCCCAGGTGGAGGTGAAGCCATACGTCCTGGATGACCAGATGTGCGACGAGTGCCAGGGGGCACGCTGCGGGGGGAAGTTCGCCCCGTTCTTCTGTGCCAACGTCACCTGCCTGCAGTACTACTGTGAGTACTGCTGGGCCAGCATCCACTCGCGAGCCGGCCGAGAGTTTCACAAGCCACTGGTGAAGGAAGGGGGCGACCGTCCTCGACACGTGTCCTTCCGCTGGAGCTGAGGGGGGGTTCATGAGTCAGCCCTGCCCCGGTGAACCCACACCTGACCCCTAAAAAAAAAAAAAGGCCTCCTTCTATCCCACAGCCTGGGACAGTACTGCAACACCCCCTCCCACAATACACAGCCTCATCTACTCCACCCTGCTCCCCACAAACACCTCATGAAAAAAAGGATGCCACCAAACACACGGGACTGTCTTCATGCCTCGCGGCTCTGAACTCATCGCCTGGTGTTCCCCTCTGATGAAGCTTTGTGGGGGAAAAGAAAAGCGAAAGTCTATCAGCGTAGAATTTGCACTTTGGCACAAGATTTCACTAAACACACACACACATGTTCGACACCTGGCTACTTTCAGTTCCCCGCTCTGTTGACTGGGTGGTGTGGTACGTCCTCTTGGACCCCCCTCCCCTCTTACTGAGACAGAGGTGGGACCGTACAAATATTTTAAAAAAAGTATATATTTTTTGTTTCATATTGATCTATACATATAAATATGAATATATAGATAATTCGAATTTTATGTAACAGGAGCATGCACTTAGTTATATGGCCCCTAGTAAAAGATCATAATTACCAAAGGCAAGTGAAATTAACGCACAGAGAAAAGTAGGTGGCATAAGATGTAGCAAGATTTAACATCTATCCAGTAGTGTGGGCCCGTATCGCCCAGAGTAAAAATAACACGGCTATATTCGCTCTCAATTCTGACTCTGAAAATATTAATACCTCATAACGCGCAATCAGATTTTTGTTTTCAATATCTAGGTCTTTATTTTTATAATAACATTATTTTTTAGTGTTATGTAAATGTAATGCTGCAATAGCTTTGCTGCTAAATCCATGGTATAAACAGATACCATACGTACTTTATTCAGGCAAAGGTTTATTAAACAACAGATCCAGAGAAGCACCGACGAGCTATCCCAGGGGGAGGGGGCGCCCCTGGACGACGATGGCTACCTTTGTGGCGGGGTCGGGGTGGGTCGCCCCTAACTGCATGTTTATCTCAATCAGGTTGCTGCATGCAATACACTTTTCAGTATCATGTCTACTATTCAATTCTGCCCATGTTTGCACAATACACTGTAGGCATACATTCGACTCTGAAACTGGACGGAAACTGGTCAAAGGAATCATGGGAGCTCTGCGTCGACGGTCAGGCTGACGGGCCTCACCCGCGGCGCAGCCAGAGCTGATAGTTCCTGCACAAACAGGAGGTGCACACATCCAGACAGCGAGGAGGGGAAAATACTTTTAATAATCACAAATCAAATTAAATGTAGGATTACCATTTAAAACTGTCTATGATAGGTGAAGTACTTTTTGCAGTGATTGTTGATATAATTGTGCAATTTTTTATACAGTATGTAGTTAGGTCTGAGTATGCCTAGAACTGTGATTCGCTTTAACTGTCGTTAATGTCCGACATAGAAGTCCTGTGAAACTTCATAACTAGTGTATGCACACGTGCAGTATATATGTTCTGTTGTACGTACACACACACACACACACACACACACACACACACACACACACACACACACACACTTGCACCAGGATACACAGAAGCCTCTCGACACACGAACACACACACAAACACAAGGACGGCTATACGCACACAAACAGGCCTACAAACACCGAGTCTGATCTGAAGAGAAGACGCAACAATGTGAGCTTAAACTGAGAACTGAAGGTTTTTTGGTTTATTTGTTTGTTGGTTTGTTCCACCGTTGACAAAAAAAGAAATAATGCACGTTTACGTCCCACAATGCAACCAAAGAGCTTACACGTTCGACTTTTTACAGACCGCCTGACAACACACGGGGCGAACAGCCGCCTGCTTGCCGACGGCGCAGTCGATTTTAGACCAGGGCAGACGGGGACAGGTGGGAGGGAGGTGGGAGGTGGGGGTGAGGTTAGAGGACGAAACGTGGACGCTACTGGAGACTTGAGGTTGATACACGGAGCTCTGCACATGCTCTCACTACATGAGGGGCGGGGTGGGATTGGGCGGGGGTTGTCATTGCCAGAATGTGCAGATATGCGAGCTGGGACTGGTCGGGCAGGGCGGGGCGGGGTGTTGTGGGTGGGGTTTACCATATTTATCCAGATTTTTTTGTTTGTTTCCTGCAAAGCTTGAAGTAATGGACCTGCTTAAAAAATGGTGGACATATATAAAATATATATATTTTTTGTTTTTATCAAAAAAGGGTATGGTGCGCAGTTTGAACAGGACGGCGTGGGAGGGTGGGGAAGGGGTGGTTATGAATCATGATATAGAAACTTAAGTATTGGCTGCTGGAGGCCAGGCGGCTCTGGCTTGGGGGGTCTGGGGTTGGGGAGTGGGTCAAAGGAGAGGGGGGGGCAAGTTACACTGGTTTTAGCAGTTTTGTGGACAATCTGATGAAGGGTCCTACATCACTGCGAGTTAACCCGTGTCACCCCCCCCATCCCCTTACCCGTTATTCTAATTCTTTTTTTATGTTTCTCGTGAGTTGTGATTGTCCCATGCTGGCGCCCCGCTGTCCCCTCTCCCTTTTCTCGTTTTAGTCGCAAACTGTTTTTTTGGGTGGTTTAGGATAGATGTTTGTTGTCCAAGAAAAAAAAAAAGCATAGAAACTGAAGCAGAAGATCCTTTTTTTACTGAGAAGATATAAAAACAAGAGGCTAACCATGAGTAATAATAAGTATCCCTATGAAAGTGAATATTCTGGGTGCTTTTTGTGACATTTCTTTCCCCCGCCCAGACAGGTTTTCTATGTTCGTCCCTTCTCTACGATAGATATTTGTTATGCACTACTCTTTGTATCGGAACAGTTTTCGACAGTCAGCGGTTCTTTTTGTTAAAAGACAAAAAAAACAGAAGATACATGGCGTGCTTTCTGACTGACAAGATCTTTTGCAATACCTCAAT